TAGAATTGCAATAGTAATGATGTTCACCTGGTTTCTGGACATCATCCATTTATTCCCTCCACATATATTTGTGAAGTGACTCTTATGGCAAAAGCTTGTGGCTATAAAAAAGTACACAATTAATTGGGTATTGTTTAATATATAGAATACATAAATAAAGATTTTAATATTTTTATTTTCTTAAGATATGAAATATTCAATAAGCTAGTCTATTAATTAGTTTTCTAAACAGTCACACCTAGTCTCTAAGTTTTCCTTCATAAACATTAGTCCAAAATATAGTGGGAATCAGAAATTCTTTAAATAACATTTAAAAACATCCTCACAGATATTTGGGTAAAGTGATAATATGACTGATGCAGCTTAAAATATATGGACAGCCTTCAGATAGAAGATTGTATGAGTAGAGTTGAACAGAAAGGCATTAATTTGGGATTGTAATAGGATAATGTAGATGATCTAACAAAGAGAGTTAAAGTGGGCTTCAGTAAGGTAAGATCTGATGGATAATGGTAAATTCATCAGACTTTCAAGAAAGATGAATTCAAGGATAGGGAAGAAGATCAAAGGACAAGCTAGAGTACACAGCATTCCATAAACTAATTGTTGAACAGTCACTGCCTCCCTGACTTAGATCTTTATCAAGTGTGGCAGACACAAGTTAAACATAAAAGAGTAGAAAATGGAAAAATATGGTGATTCCTCGGCCTTGAATGACACTGCCCAGCTCAACAATGCTTCTATGCATGGTTACAGCAAATGAAGAAATAAACAACCTTTATCTTTAATAACAGTATATATGCCTGAACTGCTTCCTACCAGGGTCTAGACATTTAGATTTATAGTTATATATTTATCAAATAAGCATGTATGACTGTAGGTTATCTCACATAATCTTCAGTCTTGCACTATTAACAAAATTACAGGTTAGTCAGTAGGTTTTCATAAGGCTTCTCTATGTGTGCTTAGGCATTAGGGGTATATCCTTAACTAATATAAAAGATTTCAAAGTTCTTGCCATCTTTCCGTCTCTCTACAGCCACTAATACAGCTTCTTACACATAAAAGCAACACGTAAATGTGCATTGCATTAAATTACATATACATGAGTAGAAAATAAGAATAAAAGAAACAATAACAGTTCAAGGAGATAAATGCTGAAATGAAAATAGGTATACATCTGTTTCATACATATAAATGTATAAAGATGAATATGGACTGTTGTGTCCTGAAGACTCCCTGTAATGTTAAAAAGAAAGACTGGAAACAGACAATTAGGAATCTGGAAGGAGAACAGAAGTAGGAAAGGAAAAGGGGGTCATGACCTCATAGAGACCAGTACTAATAGAGGCCACTGAGATACATCCATAGTGACAGTGCTCCTTGGGTTTGTCCCTTACAGTAAAATGTCCTGTTGCCATTGACTCACTAACCTTTTCAATATCATGAAATTAGGTTTGGGTTTCAGATAACATGGACAAAGAGGGGTACTTAGAGGGCTGTTTCTTCTGAAGTTCAACAATGAATATTTAGCAGAAAGGAGTTTGCTAATTGTCAGTGGTCACTTCTTCAAGGCCAGTCTTCCTTCCAGCTACTCAGGTATTTGCTGCAGCCAGTCTCCCACTTATGTATTTATTTTAGAGTTTCCTGGTTATAAACCCACTTGTGTATGTGACATCAGAGGCTCATTCTGTTGGGAACTAGATGTACTGCACAGAATAGCATTAAAGTGCAGACACCAAAATCACAAAATCACCTCTTAGCCTCATTTAAATAAGAGTCACTTTATTTATTATTCTTCACTAATTGACCATTTATGGAAAAAAATCAATTATCATTATTTTCTTTTGTAGAGTGGGAAATTCACTTGTCACTGAAAACATGATTTAACCTTGAGAGAAAAATGCCTTTAAATTATAAGCAATCTAAAAAAACAGTTACAAAATACTTCACACTTAAGCCATTCTGACACATAAAGATTTTCAAGCATAAAGTTTTAGAAATAGCCCTGGCTGGCGTAGCTCTGGATTTGCACTGAGTGTGGGCCTGAAAACTAAACAACTGCGGTTTGACTTTTGGTCAGGGCACATGCCTGGGCTGCAGGCCAGTTCCCAGCACGGGGTGCATGAGAGGCAACCACACATTGATGTTTCTCTCCCTCTCTCCTTCCCTTCCCCTCTAAAGATAAATAAATAAAATCTTCAAAAAAAGATTTTAGAAATGATCATACAGTTTAAGACAATAGATACTTCTTTAAAAATTTAAAAATCTTCAGTTTGGTTTTTTAAGGCTTCATTTATTTATTTTTAGAGGAAAGGGGAAGTACAGAAGGAGAGAAACATCAATGTGTGGCTGCCTCTTGAGTGCCTGCTACTGAAGACCTGGCCTGCAACCCAGGCATGTGCCCTGAATGGGAATCAAACTGGTGACCCCTTGCTTCACAGGTCAGCACTCAATCCACTAAGCTGCACCAGCCAGGTTCGGTTTAGTTTTGTAAGTCATGTTCTGCTAAACTGAAAATTTACATCTGAAAACCAAGGGGTTTAGGTAAAGTACATTAATATTTACTATAATCAGCTTATAGAAACCAATGAATTAATACTTACTTTCATCAACAAAAAACTAACAAAATAAATTCTATAGGCCTGATGAAATTATTTTATGTTTTAGTAATGAATGTCTATTAAATAACTTTATGGATACTAATTTTATATTACATATAAATACTAAAAATACTACTACTAATAATAATCATGGTTACAATCATTATGGTTACAATTTATTAATACTGAGCAGAAGTGTTTATGCTCTACCAAACACTCTGGCAACAGGTTTAAAGAAATTATGCCATGTTATTATCTCCCATCTATTTATAAGTGAATGGAAGATATTGGTAAATCTTTGAACTATGATTTGAATATAGGCATACCAGACTCCTAAGCCATTACCTTTACTCTACCGTCCTGGCTCAAAAAAGGACCTGAATACCTATTCTAATAAGAGAAATTGAGTCTTGTGCTAGTTTTTATATTCCCCTTATAGACTAAAAAACACCCACATCAAAGCACAAATCTAATGCCAGGACACGCCAGTTGGCTTCTTGGAGTCCAAGCTGCAGAGAATCTGGAGCTCTTGTCTACTTTTGCTCCCAACTGTGGTGCTGCCCTGTAGCCCTCTGAGACGCAAGAGCAAGGATGGGATTCCTTTTCCTGAGAAACCATATTTTTAGTGAATATAAAGAACAACCCTTTTTTCCCAAGACAGCCATGACTGAAACAGAAAATGAGGATGAATTTTTTTCTTTTTGTGTCTTCTTTTTAGGCCTTAAATATGTCCTCAATATATTAGACATGTAACTCAATAGGAATTGAATGCAACTAAGTGAAAGAGAAGAGACAAAAGAAGAAGTTAAGATGAAAAAGGACATATATGAACTTCCCCAGAGAGACTCCAGGAGCTTTGGGGATCTTCTGGGTATTAAGGGCAAAGGAGAAAGATCTGACCTTGAGAAACAAATAAGGCTAAGACAATATAGACAGGAATAAATGCTGGACTAAGGGAAAATATTATGAATTGCATATTTCATATTATTTCACTTATTAAAATAAAGTGGAGGGTTGCTTATTAAAATACCTAAATAAAATAAATACAATCTATATAAAAAGAACCAATTAATCACATTAAGTATAATAATAATGTGTGCCAGGTACTTCATATGATGCATTTTGTTTAATCTGAAAGCAACTTTAAGACACAGGCTGAATCGCAGTGTTTGTTTATTTTGGGGGAAACTGAGCCTTATGGGAGGTTAGATAACTTGCTAAAGGACATGCCACTCATAAGTGACAAAACTGGAACTTGAAGCTAGACTGTGTGATTCCACAGACTGAATACTGTCCTCTACATCCAGTAGTCATAACAAGTAATGTTATTTTTATTTCTACTATTCCTACTGAGATTCTGATCAATTCTAGACTGTCATAGCAATATGCTGGCTGGGTTCTCAATATGGAAAATAACTTATTACTCTCAGGAACACAACACTACATCAATATTAAATTAGTTAACCATTACTTCTTAGGGTCCTCTGTGCCCAATACCATAGAATCACAATATAGGCTCATCGAAAGTATGGACTAATTTAACTCTAAAGTCAATTCCACGTTGAAAATGTGGAAGAGTCAAGTTTTATGAACATGGGGGCTGCTTTCTGGGCCATGAATCCAGGAAGGCAAATTGATAGGAATGATGTAAATGTAACCAAAAGTGTCAGCATTGTATATAAATGTTTCCTCAATGTTACCTAAACAAGTGATAAAGAATATAGGGTTCATGTGTTGTGTTATGCATGTACCTTAAGGAAGTTATGCTAAGTGAAATAGCCCAGTCACAGAAGGGCAAAAATGCATGATTCCAATCACTTGAGTCCAGGGAGTATTAAAACACACAGAAGCAGAAGTAGATCGGTGGTTGCCAGTGGCTGCAGGAAGAGAACTGGGGAGTTCCTATTCAGTGGGTAGAGTGTCAGACATGAGAACCAAGACACTGGCCCGTATTTAATATACTGGGTTGTGAACACACAAATTTAATAGGTAGATCTCATGTTAAGTGGTCCTACTACAACAAAAAATGTTTTTATGAAACTAGCATAACTTTGATGTGACAAATATATCCCCAAGAAAGAAAATCACAGACCAATCAATACATTTTTTAAAAAAGCATAGGACTAAACAGACATAAACCAAATTATATATTTCACAATACCCAGTAGTAACATTGAGTTCAATTTGGGATATAAGAAGTACACAAAGTTATACATCCTTCTATGTTATCAATGGCAGGGCCTTTGAGGACCTCATGCAAACTGAAGCTACCCAGTCAACTACACTGCCTCTGTCCTCGCTATGGTTGTTTTTAATCAGGATGCTGTCATGTGAGGCATAATAAAAATTATAAAATCTTTGGATTCCTTTTTCCCCCAAAACAAATAAAATACTTACATTATTAACAGTAGAGCATACTTGTTTCGGTCCGTAAAGTCTTTGGGAAAGGACAACTGTAAAGGAAGTTCTTTTAAAGAAAGAGCAAAATATTAAAGATGTAGAGTCATTTACATGAAACACTATAAGATGAAGAGAAAGTTGTTCTTCAATAACGTAGCATGCACCAAACTTTACCATAGTCATCAATATGAAGGGTTTTAATTTCTGACTTTACTATCTTCTTCTTCAGGATTGCTTCCTTCAGCATCGAATTGCTTTCCAATATAAAATATTCTACAAATCAAAAAATGTAGTGTAAATTACTAACTGCTGTGTGTTGATCAAGAATCAGAGCAAAACAGCAAATAATTATGCAGCTGTTACATTTGGCAGGCACTGTGCTAAAAGCAGTGATTAAATGCTTGTAATTCCTCTCCTGGATAACCACAACGGTTTTCTAACTGAATTCCAGTGACATTTTCTCCAGTTGCCCCTTTACTTAGAATTAGCATTTACATTTTCAAATTCAAGTCTGATCATGTTACTACTTTGCTTATGAATATTTAAAAGAATACAAAATTATCGAGCATGAAATGAAATGAAATTCACGAAGCCAGGATTCCAATACAAAATGACCAAGCATGCAAAAAATCAGAAAAATGCTACATATAATCAGTTCAAAATTTAATGGATAGAAACCAGAAATGATACAAATGATATAATGGATAGATAAGTATATTAAAAATAGATTTTAATTATATTTCATGTGTTCAGTAGGGTAGAAATACCATGAAGATGTTAATGTGAAATATGAAAGAAATTTTAAAAGGACATGTTAAATTTCTAAAAGTAAAAACTGCAAAATCTGAGGTACATAAAATCTATGAGATTTAAGATGAAGAAATCCTGGGTAGGATTAAGAGCATATTAGATAACACAGAAAACAATGAATGTACCTGGAAATATAGTCATAAAGGGTATAAAATTTAAAACACCAAAAAAAAGAAGAAAGGGATAATGGGCAAATATGAAGGGAGCATCAGTAACTCCCTAGATTTTTAAGTGATGTATTAAATCTATAGATTTACTGGGGAAATTTTACATATTACAAATTGTGATTTTTCTAGCCCATAAATATGTATGTGTATATATATATATATATATATATATATATATATATATACACACACACACATATATATACACCCATTTGCATCTTTAATTTATCTCAAAAATGGTTTCTTTTATTTTAGGGAACTTGCACTTTTTTAATGAATTTTTGAGTATTATATGATTTCTGATACTATTTCAAATAGTATTTTGAGCTACTTTTAAATTTGCATTGTATCATAGCTTATAAAATAGTTGATTTTTTTATATTGGTCTATACCTATAGTCAAGATAAATCCACTAACTATTTCTAATAGTTTTGTGAGTGGGTGCTGATTTCTTATTTTTTATTTATTTTCTGTTTTCTTTAGAACTATATCCTCTGCAAATAAGGACAGTTTTTCTACTTATGTTTTTTTTTTCTCCTTCATTTCACTGGCTAAGTCCTCTAACCCAAAGTTGAATACAGGGTCTGAGAGTGAATATTCTTTTTCCCAATCTTGGTAAAAGCACTCATTCTTTCAACATTAAGTTTAACGTTAGCCATGATGTTTTTGTAGATATCATTATCGAGTTAAGGAACTTTTGGTCTTTTCTGAGTTGTTAATATTTGTTATTATTATATTAATATTACTAAAATTAATCAAATGTCTTCTAAATTATTTGGGTTGACAATCTACTATACTGAATTGCATTGATTGATTGTTGAATGTTATAGATATCATGGATTCTCCAGGTAAACCCCACATAATCATAATATGTTATCCTTTTATAAAATTCTGGATTTTACTTGTTAGTATTGAGTTAAGAAGATGTGTATCTATATTCACAAAAATTCATTTTTTGTCTGTGTGATATAAATGTTGGATTTGGTCCTGGTTAATACTAGCATTATATTTTCTAAAAGTTTATGTAAGCTTAGTATTCATATATTAAATATTGCACAGCATGTACCAGTGACATTAACTGAAGTGGGAGTTTTCTTTGTGTAAAGAATGTTAACTGAATTAATAATTTTAGTAGATAACAGTATATTAAATATTGTGTCTCTTCCTGTTTGAATGTTTAACACTTTATGTGTTTAAAGAAATGTATGTTTCGTATAAGATGTCAAATTTACTTCCATAAAACCACTTATAAGGTTCCATTGCTAACATTCTAATATCTATAGAATCTGTTTTTGACATCATCTCTTGCTTTAGTAAAAATGGTAATGATAGTGCATGCTTAATGTTGTGAATCCATCTAGAATTTTATTGATCTTTTCAAAGAAAAATCTTTTGTTTTTTATACATATTTCTCTGCTGTTTGTCGATTTTCTATAAAATTTATTTCCACTCCTATCTGTATTATTTTATTCCCTTAACTTACTTTGCATTAATTTGCTCTTCGTTTTCTAGTTTTTTAAAATGGAATCTCAAATAATTGATTTTAAAGTTTTCCTTTTTAATAAAGTAACAATTTAGAACCATCAATTTATCTCTAATGACAATGTTAGGTTTCTCCACATTTGGATTAGTTTTGTTTTCATTTTCACTTGGCTCAAAATATTTTTAAGTTACTTTTCTCAATTCTCCTCTAATCATGCCATTCGTGTCCATCCGGGACAGGCTTATGTCCTTTGAATATTGTCCTTAAGGTGCACGTGCTATTGCATATAAGCCATATCTGTGCCCTTTACTAGATCTTTCGAATTGTGAGTCTCGTGACAAAACATTCTCAGCCTCTTGATTTTTCATTTTGTCATTCTAGTTTAAGGACTGTGTTTCGTTTTTCATCCCTATTTATTTTTTACATTTTTTTATTGTTCAAGTACAGTTGTCTCCATTTTCCCTTTCAGGGATCATTTCTATAGTTCATTCATCTGTAGTTTAAACATTTTGGCTCTATTATATTTTGATTTGCTTCCTACTGATAAGTCCACAGTCATTCTTGGCTTTGTTGCTACATATGTAATATGTGGATGCAGTGTGTTTCTATTTTGCTGGTTTAACTATTTTTTTTATCATGGCTTTTGTGTTGGGAGTTATCCTGTTTGAGGTTTGTTGAGGGGATTAAGCAAAGAAAAAAATCATAGACAGACAACAGTATGATGATTAAAAGAGGGAAAGGGAGCTGGGGAGGTAGAAGAGGGTAGAGAGGGGATAAATGGTGATGGAAGGAGATTTCACTTGAGGTGGTACACAATACAATAATCCAGTTTTACAGTATGATACAGTTTTATCATACAATGGTATATGATAAAACTGTATACCTGAAACCCATATAATTTTGGATGTGGCCATATTTCATCAAATATTTTCCATGCCTCCTTTTCTGATTCCAATTTAAAAATATAAATTAAGTTGGGCTATGTTCATTTCTTTCATTCTTTTTTTTTCCTCTGTGACTCAAGTTTTCTTTGATAATGTTTCAAGTTCACTGATCTTCCACAAGATTTAATCTAATTTTGGTACTTAGAAACTAAGTTTTTTTCAAATATGTTAAGTTTATAATGTTGCTTTAAATAACACATTCTGTCTTTTCTTCTCATCTTAATTTTTCTTGATCTTTAAATATATTTATAATACCATGTTTTTCATATTTGTCACTGGGTTCCATCATCTCTGTCATTTCTGAGTCTGTCTCTATTCACTGTTTGTTTTTTCCTAGTAATGAGTCATATTTTCTGATTTCTTCACATAGCCAGTAATGTTTTATTAGATTATGACCAATTGTGATATTAATGTTGGTGAGTTCTGGATTTTGTTTTCTTATTTTAAAAATATTAGACTTTGTTCTCTGCTGCAGATGCTTTAGGCTATTTGCAGGTCAGCTTAATAAGTTCAAAGTTTTTAAAAATATCTTTCTAGTAAAAATATCTTTTTTTTAAACATTTTTTATTGATTATGCCATTACAGTTGTTCTATTCCCCCCTCCTTTCCCCTCCACCCTGAACACCCCTCCCCCACCATTCCACCCCCTTTATTTCATGAACATGTGCACGTGGAGGATTAAAAATATCTTTCTTAGTGTAGATTTAAGCGACCTTTGCTGTATGGATAGTTCATTTCTGCTGCTGAAGCCTGACTCTCCCTGGATCTCTCCTAAACGTCACAGTATCCTGCACTGTGCAGGTCCGCATTTCCTAGGCTCAAAGAGTGTCTTCCTATAATATTTACATTGTATGTTTTTAGATATTTTCAGCAATAGACTCAAGATGAATGCTTGTAGCCCCATGTAGATTTCTGGTGTTCTTTCTCTCTGTCTCGTCTTCTTCTCCAGGGTCTTTTCACCTTCCCAATATTATAAAAGCTTTGCTCTTTCTGAAGTCCAATTTGTTGCTATTCTGACTCTACAATAACATACTTTAGTTACCTCTTGATATCCAAAGGGGACTGCTTTCAGAGGCCCTGAAGAATCCACAATCAGAGGATGTTCAATTCCTTTATATAAAATGTAAGTTACAGTATTTGCATTATAACTTACACACATCCTCCTGTATACTTTGAATAATCTCTAAATTATGTATAGTACCTAATAGAATGTAAATATTATATAAATAGTTGTTACACTGGAAATAATGATGGAGGAAAGAAGTCTGTAAACATTCAGTGCAGCTGCAACCATCCATAGGTCTAACTACATATTACACAATAGCAACAATGTGACATTTTTCCTTGCATGTTTTCTATCCACATTTGACTGAACCCAAGGATACAGAACCTGCAGATACAGAGGGGCAATTTGTACTCTTCTTGGATTGCTCCTCATTTCACTAGAATTCAGAAAATGATTCCAGCCAGAAAGCTAGAGCAATTACAATTAAATTTCACTTGTTTTTCTCCTTTCAGAAATGTACAACTTGTCCTGTTGTTCCATGCTTGGAAATTATTGTTTTGTATATTTTATCCAGTTTTAATTTTATTTTTCTTTTCCTTTCTTTTCTCCTTTCTCCTTTATTTTCCTTCTCTCCTTGTTTTTATTTCTTCTTTTTTGGCAAGAGGCTGTGTCTACTTCTAGTTACTCCATGGACAGATTAAGAATTCTTTAAATTGTCAATGTTTATCATTGATAATTTATTGTTAAATTCAAACTCCTTAGAATGAAACATAAGATGTTTAGGATATATCCAGTCTATCCCTATAATTTCTATATCTTTGCTTTTTAAAATATGCTTTGTCCCATCCACATTGAACAACCTTTTCTTAAAAGTCTAAACATTTTCATGCTTTCTTATGTTTGTACATTCACATTCCCTCTTTCTGAAATGCCTTTGCACAGACTTCTTTTTTTGATTTTTGCTCCTTTTACCAGGAAAATTTTCATATTCTATTACAACCATTTAACTTTCTGTTAGCTGCATTGGACTTTGAACTCTATGTGTAATTTCAGACCTATCAAACCGCCTCTCTTATAAATAAATGCCATTCTCTATAATGCAAAGTAGGGAAATTGGGTATTCTTAGAATTTTTCCTACCCCCAATATATAAAAAAAGTTCAGATTATTTAAATAACAGTATATTTTCAAGAAAGATATTCCAAACCTTCAACTATAAAATTTAAAATGTAATACTCTGTAAACATTCATTATGGATTCAGCATTTAAAATCTAAGAACTATCTTAAAATGTTCTTAATATGCTTACTTACAGAAAAAAACATTCATTTTTATATTTAGAGGAAGCCAATATTACTCGATATTCGCTAGCTAAAAAGGGGACAATTTTTAAAAATCAAAGGCTGTTAAATGTTCGACTTTAAGTACAGATTACCTTCTTACAAAAGTTTTTTTTTTATAAAATAAAGAATGGTTGATTGTAGTAAATGGCTAATTGATTAAAGGAATGAATAAATAAACAAATACAGCTAATGCCCCAAATATGAGGGTAATATACTAAGAATTTCTCAGTTTCTTTTTGCTACCAAATATCAGTGGGAAAAATAAACCTATTACATTAGTATATGGGCAGTTGAGAAATTTTTACTTCTAAATCAAAGGCCATTCACTTACTTGTGAAATAAAAGTAATCCGTGGTCACAGAAAAATAAATTTCATTTAAGAAAGATAAATATAGAAAATATAAAAGCCATTTTAAAAATATTAAGAGCATATAGCATTTTATCATGATAAATTCAGAAAATAAGCTTAATAAAATTTTTTTGGAAAATGTTCTGGAGTGAAGGATGTGTTAAAACATAATTTTGCGTATAGGATTGATGAGACAAGAGAAGAAAATAGGAACAGAAAATTGTGAAGGCAAAAGAAAGGAGAGATAAGAAAGTAGAAGTACATGATGAGAAAGGGATGGGGCAGGGAGCAAAGAAAAAGAGAGAAGAGACTGAGAACTGAGGGTGAAAGAAAAAATATTATATATACAAACTAAAGAACAAATAAAATATACAAAGAGGAGGGGAACAATAGTAATGTGATACAAAGGAATTTTGAAATGTTAAAGTAACCTTTTATATATTTACACCTTGTTTCAAGTCACTGAGCATTTTATTAAAGGGTTTCTTTATCACTGAAAAAGTAATAGATGTCTGCTGTAGAGCACTGGGAGAGCACTCGAGAAGAAAGAAGGAAAAATCACCTGGAATGCTGCCAGGTAGGTGGAAGAACTGTATTTATCATTTGCAAGTATTTGCTTCCTGTCATTTTCTATTCATTTTCAAATAGTTTTGTTCGGATGGCATAAAGATTTTGACTCTTTAATTACTTAAAAATATAGCTTAAACATTTTGAAGAAATGACTTTAGCAAATCTATTTTTATTTTTTATTATTTAAAAATGTTTTCAATTATAGTTCGCACTCAATATTACATAAATTCAGATGTATAGCATAGTGGTTAGACACTCACATAATTTAATAAATGATCTTCCCAGTAATTCTAGTACCCACTGGCACCATTCACAGTTATTGCAATACTATTGTTGACATTCCCCTGGCAGCACATCAGTTTGTACTCCATCCTGTCATCTTTTTCACCCAGCCTCCCAACACCCTTCCCAACACATTTGTATTGTATCTTTAATCCTAGTGGGAAACTAATGGCAACTTTGTTAGGAAAATTAGATGAAAATTTAATAAGGGATGACTTACAACTATATGGACAATACGCGGGGGGATCACAAAAAATAGGGCAATAATCCAGGGTTTCTATGACAGTAGCTAGGCCTACAGGCCAAGGGCAGAGAGCGGCTACTTGGAGATGTTTGTGTGAAAGTTCATCCTAAAGCCAGGGCCTACAGCAACTCTCACAGGGACTCTCACAGGGACAGGCCAGGGCTTTAGCTACTGCAAAAGGACTTCCTCTTGTCTCTGGCCACCTACAGGATTTACTTCAGACAAATCCAAGTGACAGCCAAATGACAACAGAATCTAAGTCATCCATACACATTACTTCTGGGGCAGAGAAAAATAGAGTTAGGACTGGTTCTTGAAGGACACATGGAAAACATCCAGCATAATATTTATATTCCATTAAAGTTTATTTACAAATTATTCTTTTTTAAAGTTATATTATGCTTTTTCACTATCATCAATAGCTCTGTTATAATTTTCTCTAGAATTGTTTCCTCAGTATAAACTATTACAAAGAAAAACATGAAATAAATAAATATATAAGATTTAAGGCTCATGACTTATTCAAAATATTTGCTATACTTTATATTTCTACCATGAAGTTAAGAGTTTTTCATTATATACTCATTAGCAATGCAAATTTTGATGTCATTAATTTGTTAGAAAAAATTACATGGCAGTATTTTACTTTGCAATTTCTTCAGTAACTAGACGGTTAAAGGTTTTTCATGTTTATTAAATAATTTTATTTTCTCCTTTCAATTTCCTTCTCATGCCTTTTCTACTTCATGTGGCCCCAAAATGAGTTATGATTGCCTGAGTAGTGTATCAATGTTTAATGAAAGATCCACTGGCCCAAAGGTTTGGTTGCGATTATTTGTACATTTCTTCTTAATAAGTATATTTTCAAAGGAAATTCGGGCACATGACCACTGTTCACAGCCCTCTTTTATTTTTCTTGACCCTATGAAGATCAGAATTTGCTTATAAATGGGGAAATCAGAAAGATTTCCTTTAGACAAAAGTTTCATGATTTGTAGCAAAACATCTTAGAAAACAACACTGCCTTGTAAACACAGAATAAAAATTTTAACATTATTAATGATTTTTAAATAGTAAGTTTTATAGAATGCACAATGTACAAAGGCAACAAATAGTTGCCTCTTATTGAATGCATCTTATGTTACAAATACATCTCATCTCAGATCCCACAAAAAGGTGCGTGATGAACTCGTGATGAACTCATTATATACAATGATTTTGCTACTATACAATTCGAGCTACTTTCTATTTTATCAAATATACTGTTTTTGTTATCATTATTGCTGCTGTTAGTGTTAATATTGAATAGATTTAACTTGTTTACTATAAACTTTTAAAGATTTGTACTAATGGGTAGAAACTGAAGATGTGCTAAAGTTTTTACAGCCGTATGAAGCTCAATTAAAAATATAGAAATTTTGATTTTTTTCTGGAATAGGCAAGAAGTCTTCATATGATGGTATGTGAAGAGTATAAAAGGTCTCCCTCTATACTCTAAAATTGATCTTTATAATTCAACATTGCACTTTTATACCTGCATTTCTTTTAAGTCTAGGCATCTCAGTAAAACTCCTACATAAATATAAGCATGAAATGTGAGAGACAAAACCCCAATAGAATCAGTTGTCATCATGCAGTAGTGACTACAAAGCCTATTCTGGAACCAGACTGTCTCATCCGATTCTGTCACCTGTTAGTATGACTCTGGCCAAGTTATTAAATTTTCAGACTCTGTCTCCTCATCTATAAAATAGGTTAATAAAATTAGCAATCTCTGGGTTGTTCTGAGGATTAAAGAAGCTAATAAATATAAGCCTGACTTATTATGTTATAGTATCCTACAGTAAATCATTAGAACATAAGAATATTCATTAAATACATTTTTAAAACTGTAAGAAGGAAAAGAAACATGGAAAAAAGTAAGAAGAAAAAGTGGCAGGAAGCAGCCTGGCTATTCACTGTTAAAATTAACTCAGCCATGTATTTACTTAATCACTCTACTATAAGTTCTTAAACATATTGACCATATCTTGCTAGCAATGTACATCTAGTCTATGTCCTATTGCTTGATAAGGTACGTGCTCACCCAGTAGATGAAGGACAGTTGAATAAATATATAAAAACTAAATGAATATATGAAACTCGAAAGCCCTGAATATCTGGAACAGACAGGGTGTGTGAGTGTTTATGTGTGTGTGTGCATATACATATATATATGTACATATGTGTGTATAATATATATATATGATATATATAATGATCTTAATAATGATCACAGGAGTACACAAAATGTGTTTCTCTAGAGAAATAATTTATATAAGGCCCAGAAAAGAATAATCTAAGGGCACACAGGGCTTAGTCCACTGAAATATACCTAAATGAGCCTCATCAATCACTCCTCATTTAATACAGACACAGTAGACAGCTTATTTTAGGCATATAAGATCCAACTCCAGCTGTAACATGACTAAAACCACTTCTTTATTGTTTCTCTTACATATACAAGGTCAAGTTGATGGTGCCTACACAGTTTTCCTTGTGCTGGGGACTTTTTGGAAGAAGGTTCTAAAGAGTATGACACTCAGAATAAATAATATAACACTTAAGACCAATACTAACCATGACTCTTCTGCATTGCTGTGTTCATGTACTTACTTGCTGGGTTGTCCGTGGTATGTAGGCTGATCACTGGGACTCCTGGACCTGTATTTTAAAAATATATGTACAAACATTTAAAAAAATCTAAGTAATAATCACTGGAAAGGCTACATGATAGAGTTCTCTTTTTTTCTCAAATGGAAGCATTTCACAATTAAAACATAATGGAACAGAAATCAGACCACTAGACCACTAGATTCTATTTCCTTCTATAGATATTTTATTTAGAAAATAAGAATATATGGGGAAAGAATCTATTTGCATAGATTGATGTTAAGATCCCTTTTCTCCAAATTCCTATATTTCTATAAGCTTATGGTTTTAGCCAGTATGGTACAATTTACTCTACTCCTTCTTTCTCTAGTCTTTTACAGGACATTCATAGATATTCAGAAAGTCACTCATGACTCTGTGACCCCACCCTCATCTGCACAAGCAAGATTAAATTATATTTGCCACTCAGCCAAGAAAATAATGCATACATATTAGCATTGTTTCATTAACAAGATAAATAAAAATGAGGGCTAATTATACTTTAATTTTTAAAAATATGTTACTGAATTACTAGTATAATTATTTCAAATATACTAGTCAGTTCAGGTATAATCATAAGAAATTTCACTTCTCTAGGGAGCTCTATATAGAGGTCTAATTATTTTACCCTGGTGTCATCAAACAAGTACTTTTGTTTTTTGGTTACTTAATTTCAGGTGTCAAGAGGAAAAATAATTTCAATGAGTAAGTGTTGGTTTATTCTTCATGGTGTGTTAACACAGGACAGCTTAGGTTACCAGATGAAGCTGTAGCACTCAATTTATTACATTACTGGAGGACATATACCTCATTTCAACTCTGGGAAATACAGTATCTTATTAAAAGGACAATGAGGCCCTGGCTGGTGTAGCTCAGGGGATTGAGCACAGGTCTGTGAACCAGAGGAGCACGGTTCGATTCCCAGTCAGGGCACATGCCTGGGTTGCAGGCCGGTTCCCTGCAGGCCAGTTCCCAGCAGGGGATGCACTAGAGGCAACCATACATTGATTTTAAAAGGACAATGATTTCTATCACTATAACCTAGAGATACCATACCCCTGTGTACAACTATACTATTTACAGAGAGAAGAAATGATTGGAGTGCATGTAATTTGTCTGAATTGAATGGGACTAGATCCAGAAAATTAAGTTTCTGCATATCCTAAATCTTTTAGCAACCAAGCCATTATTTTTGTTTGTTTGTTATTTTCTTTAATGTATTTAATTATTGTTCAAGTACAATTTTCTGTTTTTTACTCTCATCCAAGCCCGACCCCCCTCAGTACTCCCCACCTCTCTCCCATTTCCACCCCCCTAGTTTTTAACCATGTGTCCTCCATACTCGTTGCTGTGAATCCTTCCCCTTTTCCCCTGAAATTCCCTCCTCTGGTCACTGTCTGCCTGTTCTCTATTTCAGGGTCTTTGGTTATATTTTGCTTGCTTGTTTGTTTTGTTGTTTAGGTTCCTGTTAAAGGTGAGATCATATGGTATTTGTCTTTCACCGCCTGGCTTATTTCATTCAGCATAATGCTTTCCAGTTCCATCCATGCCAAGCCATTATTTTAATGACTATTGCTTTTTTGAAAGATAGCTAAATTAGTTTATTATTGTAGCATGACTTGGCTGATATAAATATATTTATTCACTTTTCTGAAAGGTTCATGTTCAAATAGCCCTTGTTGACTTCTGTGTACTTACTCCCACTGCCTATTTCTAACTAAAGTACGTAACTATTACTTGTATCTTAGTAAATACATAATTTATAACTTTTAACAAAAATTTATAACTTAAGAATATTAAATCATATAGCTAGAGAGTAACAGTTACTAATGATAGGAATAGATGTTGGTCAGAAAAAAATCAATAAAACAAAGTTCATTAGAATCATCTATTACCTTTACAGAATAATAAGAAATGTTGAGTTATGGGACTAAAACTGGCACCAAAATATGTACATCGTTCTTTCATAAAATTACATGAAATGCACTGACGATTCAGTAATCCTTCAGTAGAAGCACTGGGAAAAGAAAGAAAGTTAGAAATACTACCATTCCGGGTATTTGAATATAAGTCATCTAAATTTCAATAAAGAGCTACAGCATTACTCACATGGAGTGTTCTTATAAATCATGACTTACCATAAAAATGCAAAATCAACTTAAATTTCTAATGTTAAGACATACGTAGTTTCTTTCTATTTAATGAAATTAAAATGATCTATGTATACCTGTATGTATATAATATGTATATATACTTATAAATAGATTGATTTCCACAGAACTCAATTAAGCTTATTTTTAACTGCATTTTCTGCATAGATATTTCTTTGTAAGGTATTAAAAGGACTTGCCCACAGAGAGTAGCATAAAGTCTTCATCAATACATATTAATTAAAAGACTAATAAATGTTTTCACAAGCCACACACAGAAAACAAACACATTATTTTGTCAACTCAGCATTCTAAGCATTAGAATTTGGTATTAGTGTTGAATATTTCCCACTAAATATTTGCACTGATATGATAATATACATATTGTTAGCAATCGTATATACTTTGAGACATCAGGGAGGTAAAAAAGAAAACAATTATCTCTTTAGTTACAAAAAAAGTGGTGCTTAAGGTCAGAGAGGTTGAAATATATCCCCAAGGTTAAATTTTATATCTAGAATCATTTACTTTTTAAAAAGGGATGTCATACATTATCTATGCTGATAGATAAAAACTGCTAATAATACATTTAGTAAATGTTGATTTGACAAAAGATTCTCAGTTTTCTTTTAAATGAAACTTGATTTGAGCTGTATATTTGGAAATGACTTGTGGCCATGCTGACTTTGATGGGCTGCGGGCGCAGGGGTGGGGACAGGGGTTTTGATTTTAGCTTCAGAAGCACTAGAAGTAATCAAGTATGATTTAAAAGTTCCAACTCCACATTTGGAACATCTTGAATTCAATTTTTTTACTAGTAAATATGATTAATATACACTAGGCACTTAAGCCCATTAGCCAAACTAGCTAATGTTTGGCTAATAGACTTAAGTGTCTGGTTTATATGTATATGTATTAGTGTCTAGTGTATACACACACACATACACAAAACACTTAACATTTTAGCCATTCTAAGTATACAATCCAATGTCACTAATTATATTCACAATATGTGCAACCATCACCATAGGAAAATTAAGAATACACACTATTTATATGATTATATTTAGTGACATAACTAGAATTTAAAACATTTACTCTCTCTACTCCATATAACTTTTCAGATCCAAGCTCCCTAGAAGATAGTGTTGGTAATTTATCATAATTTAGACTGTGAAATTGCTGAAATAAGAAATGCAAATTTTGAGGCAAAAGTGTAACATTGAATATGGGAGTTCTGATTCTGCAGGGGTGTCTAAACTGTCAGCCGATAATTATTTTTATGGCCTTACAAGACATTGATTGGGTTTTCTGGATTAAACACTAACATTACCTTACAGTCAAGCCAACTGGCATTTGATGAGCTATTTACAGAGAAATTTATTGGTACTATGTTTTCTTTATAGCACAGACTGTTATGCTAGCACCAGTCACAGAATAATTGACTCTTCAGCTGCATTCACTAAGGAGAAAGTCAAGCACACAAAAAGTCAAAGAAGTCATTGTGATTCAAATCACATTTTAGGCTAATAGACGGAAGAGAAATTGGGGAGTGCCATTGAGTCAACCTGGCCAAGTCTAATCTTCTGACACTAATTTTCCTTTTAAGAATTTTATAAAAACAAGATAAATAAAATGTTGGTCAAGTGTTTCCACACCTTAAAATATCATGACTGCCATTATCAATCATAGGAAGATAAGCTTCAGGTATCAAAACAACAACAACAACAAAACAGTGACAAATACTTTAGTTAAGACCTCTAAACCAAAGTTAGAATCAGTATCTTTAAATAAAAAGCTGTTCTTCCTTTGGAAGTCATTAGTATAGAGAATGTGGGTTCCAGACTCTCATAGAAAAGACAAAGAATATGAAAATGACGTATTGGAAGGGGTGATAAAAAGGAGAGGCTTGCTTCAGGCAACAGCAATTTATGTATAAATATAAATATTAATCTATGGATGAATTGGAGGGAGTTAGGGCACTTCAAACACACATTTTCACTCAAAGAAAAGTCTAGGCTATGGGGTAAGACTCAGTGGTAATACTCCTTTAAACAGAATAAATTTCCAATGGGGATGTTCCATGGCAATTTTGACACTTTAATACTGCAAAATGCAAATTAAAAGTGCACTTAAAGTCCAGAATCAATAAGTTGCTCGCCAGATGAAAACAAAAGTAATTCTTGTGAAGTCCTACTGAAACTCCTGAGTGAGGAGACATTTTAATACTAAATAGGCTTGACCTTAAGCCTTCTTCATGAATTTAACTTTCCACCTGGGAAAATTGGATAGATAAAATATTCCCCATCTACTGATTTATTTAAATAAACAAGCATTACTGGCTTTAATAACAAACTTAATGGATTTTACACACTATGGAGCAGGGTAGAAAGAGATACTTCCATTTGATCCAGTCTACTAAGCATTCACAATGCTTTAATTTTTTCATAAATTAACAGCATGTGTACAATGTTAATGCCCTGAAAACTCAAAATGAGGCTTAGCAAAAGAAAAAGCCCCTGGGTAAAATACATGAATGCTGCTGATATAGGTAGTTAAAAAACGCAAGTCTCATACAAATATTTTGAGACTATAAATACAGGTGGAAAAAAAAGAGCAGCAAGATGGTCTTAATTCTGGTTCAAACCTTTGAGGATCAAAAAGGTTCGAGCTGAGACCTGGCCCAATTGGGAGCAGGAGGTTCTTTCATTCAAGGTTGGCTCTTCTTTAGCCATGTCAGAAACAACTTCAGATTTTCTCATCCCATCATTAAGCTGTGTAGATGGCCATTGAGAAATCACCCTGTGACATATGTGCATGGCTTACCTGTACAACTGCCTCCCTCTGGGAGAAGACTCAGTGCTCAGAAAGTAACTGCAGGGAAAGAAAACAACGCAAACCAAATGCAATATGTAAACATTGACTGGGTTCAGCATTTAAAAAAATTTTATTTAGTTATTTTTCAAGTACAGTTTTCTGTCTATTTCTCCCATCCCAGCCCACCCACTCAGTGCTCCCCACCTCCTTCCCATTTACATCCCCTTAGTTCTTGTCTCTGTGTCCTTCATACTTGTTCCTCCAAATCCCTCCCCTTCTTCCCCTTAAATTCCCTTCGCTCTCCCCTCTGGTCACTGTCCCCTTGTTCTCTATTTCAGTGTCTTTGTTTTTATTCTGCTTGCTTGTTTGTTTTGTTATTTAGCTTCCTGTTAAAGGTGAGATCATATGGTATTTATTTCAACACCTGGCCTATTTCACTCAGCATAATGCTTTTCAGTTCCATCCATGTTGTTGCAAAGGGTAGTAGCTCCTTCTTTCTCTCTGCTGCATAGAATTTCATTGTATATATGTACCACATTTTTTGATCCATTTCAAAAATATTCTATAAAGCATTTTGAAAACAACACAAATCAATTTTCACCACACTCTTTTTACTTGAATTTTTACAATGTAGGGTCAAGGGTGGGAAGTGGTGATGGCTGGGGTTGGGGGTAGTGGTGGGAGGAAAATAAAGACAACTGTTCTTGAACAATAATAAAAAGGATTTTAAAAAGAACATAGAAAAGCTTTTCTATAATTAATCACATCATTTTAATCCTTTTAGAAAACATTTTTCTTAAAATATTATTATACTTTTAATGATCTCAATCTCTGCTCTTTGAGTGTGTGTGTTCATGTGTGTGCATGTATCTGTGTAAGTATGTCTCTGGGTGAAGGTTAGAGTCTTTAAAGTAAATGCTATTAGGTGGCCATGTTGTTTGGACTAGGACCATGGTAGGCAAAACATAAATCTGACAGAAAATACTGCAACTGACAATCTGACTTCCCACCTGACCTTAGAACCAAAAATGCTCACATTTTTTGCGTAGTTTCATCATATGCCAAGATCTTTATCACTTCCCAGTTCCCTGATGTTAAGTGGCGTACAGTAATTTGCTCACTTTTACTCTGCAAAGAAATAGAAAATATTAATTTAAAAAATTAAACAGCATCTCTCTGGTCAAAACAAAAGTAGTAACTGCTTATGTCGCTTTTAATTCTTTAATTCTCAGCTAACGTTCAGTTTCTAATTTTCCATCTCAGTAATGCACACACATTTATATAAACATAGACTCAGGGAGGACAATACCTTTATTATTATGCTGTCAGAAAACCATTCACAAAATACCTCTAGGTGAGTATCTCCTGTGCATCACCCAGTCAGGGATGCCATTTTGGCATTTGGTGCAGACATAGAACTTTGATAAGTCTCATCAAAATGATTGACAGCTGTGCAGTTTTGACAGACTTAAAACATTTCAGAGCAAACTTTATTCCAAATAAATATTAAGGGTTATTTACTTTCAAACTTTATACCATGTGCATCACTATAAGATTTGTTATTTTGAATAAATAATTTATTTGAGGTTAATCCATGTTGATGCATAATACCATAGTTTTCTTTTATCATTATATGGTATTTTGTTATATAAATATGTCATTACTTATCTTTTTCTTGACATTTGAGTGTTTCCAAATTTTTGCTTTTTAAAAAAGTTGTCTATGAACAGTTTTACTAATGTCTCTTGATGGCCATAGCAAGATTTTCTTGAGACAAACAACAAAAGTGGGATTGTTTAGTTAGAGTGTACACATGTCTTCTGCTTAACTGGATAGTGACAAAATGTTTTCCCAAGTTATATAGAGTCTAATAGCAATATGAGTTCTATTGCTCCACATCTTTCTCAATTCCTCAGTAATAGTTAATTTCATCAAGCTATTTAAGTTTTTGTCATCTAATGAGTATGAAATTGTATCTTTTTGTTTGCTTTTTGTTGATAAAATAATGAAGCCTATAAAAAGGCTGAATGATTAATGCACTAGTACTCATACAATCCTTACCTAGATTCACCAGAAGATAACCAAAATTTTGAATATCTGCCCTCCTTTCTTTTATTGTTTGCTGGATCATTTGGAAATAAGCAATAAGTATCAGGCTATTTCAGCCCTAAATACTTTAATATACATTACTCAAGTTTAAAAATATTTTATCATATAAACAAATTGCATATCACACCTGTGAATACTCAATATAATATATGGTCTATACTCTAATTTCCATAACTTCTCACATAGTATATTTTTAAAATGCTGAGCCCAATCAATGTTTACATATTACATTTGGTTTGCCATCTATTTATTATTTTTTTAAAGATTCGATTTATTTATTTTGAGACAGAGTGGAAGAGAAGGAGAAAGAGAGGGAGTGAAACATCAATGTGTGGTTGTCTCTAGCTCACCTGCTACTTGCAACCCAGGCATATGTCCTGACAGGGGATAGAACCAGAAACCCTATGGTTCACAGGCTGGTACTCAATTCACTGAGCCATAGAGGCCAGGGTCTTTATTATCTTTTGAAGTGAAACAATTATCCATCTCTTTGATTTCTACATTGACCATTTGTAAGCTTCTTAGTCCAGTGATCTTACAGAACAGCAATTTTCAGCTGGTGTTCCACAAGAATTTTTAACACATGCAATACCTGATTATTTAGTCAGGGGCACTGAACTCTTTTTCCTCAGACTGTCAAATTAAAAAATGACAACAGCCAGCACTACAATAGCCATCTGATGTGAATGAATCAAAATTATACTTATTTTTTAGCCATAGGGATATAAAATACAATAGAGGAAATGGGGTAGCCAAAGAAATTATACACATGACCCACAGACATGGGGGGGTTGCCTGAAGGAGTGGAGGGCATTATATGGAGGGAAGCAAAAAGAGAAAAATCAGGGCAATTGTAATAGCATCATCAATAAAATGTAATTTTTAAAATTTTATATTATTAGTAAAGAAAGATTTAGGGAAAAAGCTGAGTATATACACTCAAGGGAAATTAATATAAAATGGATGTCAACTGGGAAAAGAAAAAGTATATACTCATGAATAAATCACTTTGATAGTGATTTATACATATAAAAATTATACATACTTTTTCTCAGATCAGCAAAAAATAAATATTTTTGGTGTGCTGAAGACTTTTAGTAATTGTCTTATGTGTGCCATGAGATGAAAAAGGTTGAAAATTGATGTTATAGAACAGTTAGCATTTTAGATTTATCTGATTGTTTTCTAATTATTTAATTTAGGTCAAACTGTTTAGGCAAGTATATTATAAAGGTGATTGGATACCTTTGCTTCATGTAAGGACACACACACAATTACATACCTTCACACTCATGAAAATATTATTTATATAACCATGAGATACATTCATTGTGAAAGTACACTTGCTTTGTAATTGAAAGCAGAATAATACTTGCAAATTATGTAAACAGCTTGTTCTCTAAAAACTTTTCATTCAGTAGCTATGGGTCATTCATTTATGACCTTTCCATGAATAATTATTATTTCAAAAAGTGATTTTTAGATTCTAACACTGGTTCTACATTTATTAGGTAGCATTCTTCAATAAAAAGAACATCCCCTGTTTTCCCCTCATATATGTTAATTGTCTTTCCCTTCTTATATTATTACAGACTTAAACATTTTAAATATTATTTTACATTACTGTTCTTACCTATGTACTATATCTGTAATCATTCATTTATTCAAGGAGTTTTCTTCTATTAGAATATGGTGTTTAGGTATCAAAATTCGGGGTTAGGTATGTTCACTGTTTAAAACATTATTAATTCTGGGCACTTTCAGAGGCTAAAATGTATGGACGGTGGTAGTTAAATAGGTAGATAGATAGATAATAGATTTTCATGCTATCTCTTCCTATATGTTTACATTGTATGTGTTTGGGTTCTAGTAATATCTTCAATTAAAATTCATATCAGTGTGATTTAAATTTTGGTATTGAGGGAGCATGGTTCACATTCTCCCTCACACACATTAAAAAATTTATCTTTCTTTTTGATCAGGGAATCTCTATAACTAAAAATTAACATTTTATTACTATAAGTTTAAACCTAATCACACATATATAAATTAGAGAGCATGCAGGGCATGCTGTATATTCCTTATAAATTTTTTCTCTTTTTGTTATTATGCAGTTCTTCATTGTGTAGGTATACCATAATTAATTCAACTAGCCTTCAGTGAGGCACATCTCAAATAATGCTGTAGTGATTAACCCCATATGTATGTTTGTTTGCTGCTTAATGTATAGGGAAATATCTTCAGGATATACGAGGTCTGTCCAGAAGGTATCCACCTACGTAATATGAAAAGTGAAGATGGTTAATGAAGAAGATACAAGAAATATTGTACATAGGACAGTGATGCCTCAGTTCCCTTTAAAGTAGGGACCTTGAGACCTTAGTATATTTCTCCCAACTAACATCAGCTGCCCCATCATATTTTTCTTAATCTCACTGATGGTCTGAAATCTCTTCCATTTCAAAGGTGATTTTAGTTTTGGGAGAAGCCAGAAGTTACAGGTACCAAATCTAGGCTGTAAGGGGGATGAGTCACCTGAGTGATTTGATGTTTTGCCAAAAATACTGCCCAAAACATGATACGTGACTGGTGCATTGTCATGATAAAGCCGCCAATCACTGATTGCCTATAGTTGTAGCCTTCTGAATCATTCAAATAATTTCCACAGAAGAATATTCAAGCTTAACATAAAATTTGTTGCAGATTTGTTACTCTGCTCACTCAGTCATTTTGAATGCTACAGCCACAAAGTTCACATGTCCACTCAATGGTGTTTACTGCCCCCACTGACTAGTACAGTGACATCATCACTGTCCACACACATGCATTCCAGTCCACTCTTCTTTGCTGCCAGGTTACCTCAATGTCCTGCAAACTGTTCTCATTATATTAATAATGGCTGGAATTTTTCCAAATAGACCTCATCATATTCTTCCATAAGGGAAGTATTTTTCACATCTACTGGCAATTGGTGCGATACCTGTTTTCCTACAGACATGTTATAGAATATGTTCTTCACGGTTTGAATTGTTACCAAATGTGATAGGTCATAAATGGTGCTGTGGTAGACACTATGCCAACAAGAACTGTCTTCTGAAAGGAAGGACCTACTCCCTTAGTGGCCAGCAGTGCTTCTGGAAGAAGGCTCTCTGCTGACAGTTTTCTTTGGGAATTGCCTAAACTGAATAAAATGGTCTCACCTAAGTTCATTCCTCTTTTTTTTAAAGATTTTATTTATTTATCTGTAGAGGGGAAGGGAAGGGAAGAGAGAGAAACATCAATGTATGGTTGCCTTCGTGCATCCCCTGCTGGGAACTGGCCTGCAGGGAACCGGCCTGCAACCCTGTATGTGCCCTGACTGGTTTGCAGGCCTGCCCTCAATCCACTGAGCTACACCAGCCAGGGCTCATTCCTCTTTTGAAGGGCAGCTTCAATCAATCCCAAGACAGCCTGATCAATGTTGGAGCACAGAAGCCCAACCTTCTTGCCCTAACTTGGGCCCATGCCAGTCCAGAACTCTCTGCAGGGTCAGCTGAGACCTTCATTCAGATGACACTACATCTCCAACTCTTGTGTCCAATCTTGCTTCTTTTTCTTCTTTTCTAAAGTTACTGATCTTCTGTAATAATTGCCCTGCAATCTTGATTTCACAGTTGGCTTCCAGTGAAACTCAGTTTGAAACTGGTGTGTTTGTAAAATTTCATTAAAATATATAAAATAACATATATGTAATATTCCATTTACATGTTGTTTAACTCTTAATGTTGATCTATCTATAAATGTTTTAGTGTTTTGGTATTTTTAATTAAAAGAAATTTGGGTTGTTGTTCAGTTACCATTGTTCTGTTCTTTTCTCCATTGCTCTCCCCTGCCCCACTCCCACAGCCATCCTCCCCCATTGTCCATGCTCATGAGTCCTCTATTTATGTTCCTTGCCTTGCTCCTTTCGCTTCTTTAATTTTTAATAGCTCTTTATGTCTCTCTATCCTTTTATGTGAGATATAAGGTGAAAACTGTCT